TGTAGCTGCTCCCTGTAATGATGCTGGGGCCGGAGTGACGTCCTGCTTCCGGCATCATTACATAGCGTGACGGAGCAGAGAGCAGCTACAGACAGAGTACTGCTCCCTCACACACCGCCTACAATGCTCCCGCGGGCGGCCGTCTCCATCCTCCTCAGGGCGACCGGCCGCCCGCCTCCAATATTCTGCTGACTGCTGCCAACAAAGCTCCCTCGGCGGCCACACGAACTAGAGAGCTGGCAAATCCCAGGTGCCAGGGCGCAATTTCTAGTCGCCGTGGCAACCTGGTGCCTTGGATTTGTCGAGCCCTGCTAACATGATAAACTTTTTATGCAGTGAATTCAAATCTCTGGCGTTTATTGTGGCAAATTTTAACTACCAGTATGTTTGGTTATTATGTACAGAGATTTATATTTATTTCTTTGAATTCCGGCTTTGAGGTGTATTAACCAACAACCATAAAATATCACGTACAATTCCCTCAGTCATGAAACGTCATCATGATTCCGTGTTTGTGTACTCTTACACCTTACCATCAACGATAGAATCTGATTATTAATCCTTCAGCTGGAAAATGTTGTGTCTTTGGGGGAAAAAAGGGGGTAGGGGATCCGTAAATAAAGCTCAACGACGTGCTAATGTGTTAGTAATTTCCATAATATTCTTTCTCTTTACTTCATATCCCGTCTTTCTTCATTCCTTACCTTTTACCTAAACAACATTCAAAACCCATTATTCAATCAATATAATTACTTATATTAAGTGTTCTATCCTTTGGCAAATTGATATAGTTCTGTTACATATCTTAGTATCATCAGCAAAAAAGACATACCTTACCATCAAGACCTTCTGCAATATCACTAATAAAAAATTATTAAAGAGAACGGGTCCAAGTGCAGATCCCCACTGGTGACAAGACCATGCTTTGAATATACTCCATTGACTACAACCCTCTGTTCTGTCACTCGGCCAGTGCCTCACCCATTCAACAATATTGTAATCCAAACTTAAAGATTGCAGTTTATTGATAAGCCTTATATGTGCAACAGTTTCAAAAGCTTTACTGAAATATAGGTAAACAATGTCTACTGCACCACCCTGATCTATTATTTTAGTTAATCAATAAGATTAGTTTGGCATGATCTCCCTGAAGTAAAATCATGTTGTCTCTGATCTTGAAATCCATGTGATTTTTAGATGTTCAACAATCCTATCCTTTAACATGGTTTCCATTACTTTCTCCACTACCGAAGTAAGGCTTACTGGCCTATAGTTGCCTGACTCCTCCCTACTAAATTTCTTGTGAATGAACACAACATTCGCTAACTTCCAATCTTCTGAGACTACTCCTGTTAACAATGATTGGTTAAATAAATCTGTTAATGGTTTTGCTAGTACACCACTAAGCTCTTTCAATAACTATGGGTGTATTCCATTAGGTCTCTTTCGCTTATTTCTCTTTACTTTCGACAGTTGAAATAGAACCTCTTCCTCTGTAAACGCACATGTAACAAATGACTCATTTGTCCTTTTTCCTAACTGAGACTCCTTTCCTTCATTTTCATTTGTAAATACTGAACGAAAATATTCATTGAGGCAGTCAGCTAGACCTTGATCCTCTTCTACATACCTTCATTCTTTTGTTTTTAATGTAACCTTTACTTGTTTTACTTTCCTTTTCTCATTTATGTATCAAAAAAAATGTTTTGTCCCCTTTTTTGTACTGACTGTGCTATTTTCTCTTCTGTCACATCTGCAGAGTACCACAGTAGTTTCTTTAAAACTCTCTCTTAAGGTGGCTTTGTCAAATAAATGATCATTTCATAAAGATATATCTTTATGAAATGTTCATAAAGACCATTTTGGAATGCCAGGTCCCACCTACTTTGATGTGTTTCCTGTTTACAGTCCAAGGTCCAATCAAGTGTTTCTAATTTAAAGGAACACTATAGTGTGAGGAATACAAATGTGTATTCCTGACCCTATTGTTCTAAAAGTGCCATTCATGTCCCCGGCCCCCCTTGTTCCCTGTTAAAATTGTATTTTACTCACCATTATTCCAGCACAGTGCTGGTCTTCTTGCAACGCTGGAATAAAGATTGGCTGAGATCTTCACACTTGACGATATCAGCCGTTCCCATGTTTTCCCATAGGAAAGCATTGGGAGGCTATTGTGCATGTGCAGCAGTACGCAGCTCTGCACCACCCTTCATCTCTTGAGATTGATGCATTGAATCAGTGCATCTCTATGAGAAACTATCAGCGCATCCATGCAGAGTGTAGAGACGCTGAACGTCAGTGCTGCACATTATGCATTTTATTCACATGTCTTCTAATCTCCTTACCAGTCTATAAGTTGAATGACACGTGAAAGCTTCCAAACATTGGAACTAAACCTGGAGTCATAGTTTCCCACACATGTTAGTTCAGAGTTATTTGCTGATGATCTTAGCAGAGCTTAAGAAATCCCAGGAGTCACTGCTCCTGAAAATGAGCGTAACTCTTTAAAGAGGCACTCCGAACACTCTAATCCTATATCTATATTGCTGAAAGAGGGGCCATATTTATCCAGTGATGTAGATTGATTAACATATTATTTATATTTGGCATAAAAAAAAAATTATATTGAATTTTTTTTTCTAATAAGCATTGAAACTTTCCTATTCTACTAAAGAGGGATCCATAAACATACTGGGGAAGGGAAGATCCTGATATACCTGCTTACTTTTATTTCTCACTACTTTTATTTGAATTCCGTGGGGTGTTTGTTTGTTTTTTTTTGTTTTTTTTTTTTATATTTAGAATATTTGGGTGTATAAGAGACCATACAGGAAGGTCTCAGGAAAGGTTATTCCGAGCGCATGAAAAAAATTATTTACAAATAATTGTCATTTATGAGAAGTGCCGTAAATTTTATATGCACACACATAAATATCTCTATATCTAGGCTGTTTAGAGTAGGACCTGCCAAAGTAGTGTACCTTGATGCTGTGGCAGGCTTATGCAATGTATGATAATATAATATAACTAAACCCCCATTATTTTTGCCTAGATTAGGTGTTTAAAAAAAAAAAAAAAAAACTAATAAAATCTGTCAGCATTGAAGTTGCTGTTTAGTGGATAAGAGAGTGCGCTGGATCTTGTGTATTGTATGAATTGGCCCCCAGCAGCACCCCCATATATGCATGTTCAGGTGAGTGCGACCCCCCCTGGTGTGTATGTGTGTGTGTGTGTATGTATATGTGTGTATATATATATATATATATATATATATATATATATATATATATATATATATATATATATATTCATTTTTTAATAAATCTATACATGCGTATTTTTGGTATTGGATTATTTATGAGGTCCCTGCCTTTATCATGTCTAAAGAATTTTACTCCATAGTAATTGTCTACAAACCGTGGAGCTGCATTCTGACTGTATTACCCTCTCCGCCACCCGGTAAATCATCCTGTTCATATGCTATTTGCATAAATTGGTATTTGAGTTAAAGAAAAGAAACAAACCCTATCATGCATATTCTTTAAAATGTGATTTGTTTATTGGGGAGCAGCGATTCTCCGTTAAATTGTCCATTTTAGGCCCAAATAGATACTAGAAACACTTCTCAAACTTCGCCCTGATTTCAGCTCTGCTATTTTGGCTTAAAACTTGGAATTCTCTGGTGGATTCTTGAGATTCATTGCTTAGTAAATCTCTGAATTTCTAATGGAAATCCGTAATAGACCATTTGTGTATATGCCATTTAAGTCAATGGAAGTCCTCTCTGCATTACAGGGTATATTACTTAAAGTGTTATCTCACTGTACCCACAACCTGGGCTTCATTTAAAGAGTATTTATTGAAATTTCAGGTCTACTGTGAAAGCAGAAATACTAACACATGAACAGATTTTAATTTAAGGCCTTTTATTTTTTTTTGGTCACTCCCCTACCTGTCAATCAGTTGTCAGTATTAGACCTGTATGGTGGCAGGGTGAGCAAGAGAATCCTCTCAAAAATGTTGCAACTCCAATGTGCGAGCAGTGAAGCCAAGGTGCCGGCATCAAAAGTGAGGGTTGTCCTGCTTGGTGAAGTGTAACTAAACAAGGCTACTAACAGTAGAAATGGGGTGAAAGTGTAGGGTACGTATTACATAGTGTATCACCCACAAACCCTCGGAACTGCAACACTTGAGTGCGAGCAGCATGTAAAATAAACTATAGCAGCTCCCAAAGTTTGATAAATTTGTATATGTATTGCCTTGGGAGCTGCTGTATGTTAAGGCTAACGTGTCATGACAATATATTTTTTAATCCATTCTGTGATTTGTAATTCATTAGGTGAGTGAAAAAAGATAGCAATATTTTTTAGATATTCTGATTGGTACAAAAACTAATAGCTCATATAATTTATTTTTCTTTTCTTTGTTTTCAGAGATGTCTCTCTTGCCTGATTTTGAATTCATCACTATGGGATTTTGGTCCTTCGGCATCGGAGCAGCGGTGGTCGGAATATTAATAGCCAACACAGACTATTTTCTTTCAAAAACAGACAAGGCAACACTAGAATACTTAGAGCAGATAGAGCTGAAAACTATTGGAGATGGTAAGCACTATCTGAGTGGGAAGGCCTCTGGGATTTTCAGTAATCTGAATGAAATGTCAATATTTATAGTCTGTTCATCTCTTCTGTGGTTCACCTGGTAGAAGGTACTGCTTAGAGTACCTTCTACTAGGTTCCACATTGGAAAGTATAGCATTTTCTTCTTCCGATGCACATGCTGACAGCGCTTGGGAGCAAAAAAGGCTGATTTGCTTGATGTGCGCAATAAAATATTTGCATTTCCCATAGAGATCCCACCTTGTAACGCACTAGTCACTCTTATCACAATAAATTGGGACCATGAGGACATGGCGCACATACAAAGGTTATCAAGCAAACATATCGACAAAACAAAGGGCATGATGTAGAAACTAACCCACATGTATATAGTTAGAACCATGTTCTCTATTGGCTTTCCTTTCTTTTCCCTTTTCCCATAATACTGACAATACCTACAAAGGTATGGTACATGGTTGTGGGATGCCCTACCGAGCACTGGAACTGAGGCCGGTAATAGTGAACTCACTTTAAGTCTTCATATCCTGATATAGATGACCTCATGACTCTAAGGAAACACCTGACATACATGACAAACAATGTTAATGTAATAGAGCATATAACCCTACACAGATTTAGTCTTCCAAGGTGTACACGTTATAGAACCATTTTGATGGTATTGAAGATTGTTCCCTGTAACAAATCCTTGCAACAGACCAAAGTAACAAATGCCTTCGGATGATGTCTTTGTGATGTCCCCCAAGCTATGTATCTGCACCACATAAACACATCACATAGTTACATAGCAGAAAAGAGACTTGCGTCCATAAAGTTCAGCCAAAGGAAAAAAGTTACCTGCGCTCTTTCCCAAATCCCAAATGTATATTTAGTTAAACAAATGGAGGGTATGCCCACCTGCCACATTAAGGCAGACCGCTTAGGTGGGTCCTAACTCTAACCATTCACTTTGCTTCCTTGTAACTAAAAACCTCCATCATTTGTTTAAATATACATAGGGATTTGGGAAAGAGCGCAGATAACTTTTTTCCCTTTTGGTTTTTACTGTATGTATTGGGGCTGATGGTCATTGCTGCCGCCCAGGAGTAATGGGAGTTTAAGCGCAGGACTTCCCCCTACTGTACTCCCCCTTTTTCTTTTTTATCTCACTAAAGATTACATTATGTATTTATTTTTATTTTTTTTCGATTTGGGGGGAGAAAAAAAACACTTTTTTTTTTAATTTTTTTTTTTAAATTCCACTATTTTATAATATGTTTAACACTGACGTTTGTTAGAGCCTTCAGATGCGTATTGTTGGTTTTTTTTTGTTTATTTTTTTTTATTCTGTATTTGGAAGTGCTAGATGGTATTATTTTCTAATAATGTATTGTTTACCATGATATACCCTATAATATAATACACTCTTCCTCTAAAGCTTATCTGTAATATAGAATATACACAACCGCTCCGAATTCTAGTTGACATTGGAGTTCTTTGTGCAATATGTAATCCATTTCAACTAGAGCCGTTTGTATCTTTAGATTTCTTGTTGGTACTTTGCTACAGTTCCAGGAAATCACAGTATAACAAAATACATAAATGTCAGACAACTCTTGCTTTGTCGTCCGCAGAGCCAAGGACTTTCAAAGCCAAGGAATTGTGGGAGAAGAATGGAGCTGTGATAATGGCTGTACGTAGGCCGGGATGTTTTCTCTGCAGAGAGGTAAAAATATCTGATATGAGAAATCCAAGTGTACTTGAAATACCATCCACCTTTTTTGTTTGTTTGTTTAAGCTATTTTAGTGATTTTTAGAGATTACGATGCAATTGCATAGATTTAAAAATGTACTTTGTACTATCGAGCTTATCTAAACAATAGTATTCTTCAATTTGAGGCTGAAAGGGATTTCGGGATTATTTTGTGAAAATGGCTCTTACAAGGATTTATTACCTGTGTTAAGATAAATTGCAGTTGTAAAATCACGGTTTTCACCTTTTGGTTTTCTCTTAAAGGGGACATGTCACTGGAAATTACAACATTAAACACTGGATATAACCCGATCCTCAAGTTAACTTGTTTTTGTAATGTGATGGTCCATTTACATTTGAAATGTATATTAAATTAGCACAATTCTAGTGTTTGTGGTTCTAGCATAGCCCTGCTACCATTTGGTTTAGAGGGGTGTGACGCAAACCAAGGGCCCCCTGTGCACTCATGGCCCGGCCAGTCACTAGGCATATTGCTATTGCAAAGCCTACACTTAACACATTAGCAATATCAATTCTGCCCAAATTTGGACAATATTTATATTGCTAATGCGGACCTGTCGTACCTAGGTACAACCACAATGCACATTGTATTGGAGACAAAGAAGCATTGTGGGAGAATTAGCAATGTTTTTCTGTGTGGCCTAAAATATTAAGTGGGGCCGTCACCATGGGAACCAGTAGGCGCATTCCATTTTTAATAATGCCCTGTTTTTGGTTTGAATACATTTTTAAGGAAAATTGACTTGCAGAGGAATAGGCTGTGCTACTGTTGATCATCTGTCCTCTGACTTCAGATGCCATATATGCACAGAATTGACATTAGCCAGCCTCTCGTTCTGGGCTATAGTTACACCTCTGGCAAGAAAGGTCTTTAACTCTGTGCACTGTTTCCAACTGCTGAAGTGGTTAGGGTGTTTGCAGTAGTCCTTTACAGAATGAAAATTACCCAGGGAGAGCTTAGGCTTGACTGAAGACATGCGTTATGAGGGATTTGTTAAAGGATTGACGCCTAAGGGAAACTCTGATGTGGGGAGGTAGGCTGTTACTTGATGATAGAGCTGCCCTTGATAAATCTTGTAGACAAAAATTAACAGTATGGTGCGATGAAGGGACAGAAGAAGGTCACTGACATAGTAGTCCATGGAGGGGTGTACCTGCGAAGAAATGCAGTGCGGGATATTGTTATTGGGAACTTTATATGTGGGAAATAGTATCTGAAAGGGCAAAGAAAGCCAAATTAGTGATTAGCTAGGGGGGGTGGTATGGGAGGAGTGAAGAGAGAACACTACAGTCAAGAGACTGGGCAGAAATTGGAGAGGCGGAACATTTTTGCAGAATTTAAACAATGTTGAACTTTGAACAAGCATCGTTTAATTTTAACATCTCCAGACAAATGTCATTGTTCAAATGGGAATTGAGTCTTTAAACCTCAGTCCTAGGGATGTTTGTCCCTGTCTGATACCAGAAGAAATAAGGCAAAAATTATGCTCAGAGGTGCTTTAGGACTTTGGAATGTTCTTTTAATAAACTGCAGCTAAAATACATTCTCGTACATCTAAAATGACAGGCCTTACAGTGGATCATTTTCTTTCCCAAGTCTTTTCTGTTCTGTCATTCTCCCTTTCCAAATTATGTGGTCTTCTTGATCCTGAGTTGTTTTTTGAAATCTGTCAACCTCCGTATTTAAATACAAATACGGACGAATAAATAAATAAAATAATAATTAAAAAATATATATATATACACACACACACACACACACACACACACACACACACCCCCCACCCCACCCCCTCTTGATTAGTTAGTCGGCAGCTTCCCAATGGGTCACTAATTGATAGATATATAGAATGTAGAAAAAAATGGGATACAGCTGCAATCCTAAAAAAAAAAAATACAAACAAAATAACATAGTGTAGTATCCTCTAAAACCGTATATGACACGCCAATAATGTACACATTTACAGGATAATAATCGCATGTAGGGTGCCTCCCCCGATAGCAGTGGGGGCTCAGAGTGATCTTCCTCTTGTTTACTTGTAGCGTTATTCAAACGTATAAACAGAGCAGGAATCCCAGTATTTACTCAGTTTCAGTACAACAATTTTTATTTTTTTTTATTTTTTTTTATTGTGGGTTTTTATGGTTGGTGATACCCTATGTGACTAGTCTCCTGTTTTCATTGGTGGCTGTTGCTTAGCTGACCATGGAATAAATATAGTGCCATCAACATATGTTTAACACGGGAATTGGTCAAGGTGGTGACTCATAGATCGATTGATGATGGTAATTGGGTGCATTACATTTTTTTTTTTTTCTTCCCTAAATTAATCTCCCCCTCCCCTATTGCATATCTCGCTTTTTCTAGCTAATGCTTGGCATAGCACCATGGGAAACGTTCTACAAAATTCTAAGTAATGTGGTAATGATATTATGATGAACCATACTATAATGCATGTTTGTGGAACACATTTCATATTATGTTGTCAACCTTGACACAGCAGATGTTTGTGGAATTTATTTCACACTAATGCTCATTGTCAAATGTTGTGTACGGATCTCTAATCCACCCACAGTGGCAAACGTTGGCACTTCAGATGTTTTATGGGTCACATTTTATATATTGTTTAGCCTATGTTTGTGTTATTCTACTAAAATAGATTAAATAAAGCGTGTAAACACACGCATGTGGAATGTGTCTGGGTGAGTGTCTGGGTAGGGTGTATGTAACTAGGTGAGTGTAGACATGTGGGATGGTTGGGTGGGGGACGATGACCAGGTGAGTCACTGTGTATTCTAGTTTTTGCAGAGTTGCCGTTCAGATGAGGTTAGTGTGGGTGAGAAGGTCTCCAAGCGAGGGCAGGCCTACTATAGATGCAGGGATTAAACAAGAAACTAAAATAACTGTGCAAACATTAGGGAGGTCATTGGGACATGCAGCAAAGCAGCTGCATGCGTGAGATCCAGTCATAGACAAAGGAGAAGCCAGTCATGCAGACATAGGCATCTGGAAGAGGTGTGCCAGGTTCCCAGGCACACCCTAATACAATCATCACTGTCTCCTTATAGGTCTTTATGGAGTCAGATATCTCTATTTAGAAAGGGGGGGGGGGGGAAGCATGACTACCTATGTACTATTTCTTTATGCATCTACTAGAATTTTACATTTAATATTTTTCAGTAAAATTTGTGTTCTTTTTCTCTGGGTGCTGCTTGAAATTTCCTAGTTTTGTAATTAACATTAAGATCCATTATTCCTTCCCTAGAAGTTTTTCCTGATTTCCTATGTAACACAATTGATACTGTAACAATACGTTCTTGAGAATAATCAGCACTTATTGGATTTATTCCTTATTCGTCAAAAGTACATCCACAATGCTCAAAGTTGGTAAAAAATCTTCATTCATAATGGCAGCATTAAAAGGCAAGGGTGCACGATGAATAGCAAAACTGCATATTACTAAAGGGGGAAAAAAACAAAACTCGTTTATCATCTGTAAATGTGTGTAGCTGCACCCACACTCACCTCTGCTGTCTCTCTCTATTCCTTATCTGTGTGTGTCATGCTGTCAGAAGCACTTCATCAAGGAGGACCAAGCTCATAAAGAACTTCCCACCTATATAAAGCTGAGTAATGTTAGACCAGCTTTGGAAGGAATCCAGACTGCCTGATTCACAAATCATGTATATGGTGCTTCAGTTTAGCTGAAGTCTTTCTACCAAAAACCTGGCGGTTCCTGTGTATATGATCTCACTGCAGTGGCTCGAATTTTCTTCATATTTCACATTACATTGTTCAGAAATAAGCCTCTTGCCACCCACTACTCATTGTCCCTCTCTACCATACCATTACGCCAGGATTGGCCGTCTTTTTTTTTGGTGGTTTTTCTTTTTTCATTAATTGCAGTCTCCTCATTTAAGATTTAGGTAAACCTTTTCAAGACTGTTGGTTCTACTAATGTTTGTTGATGTTCTTCTCCTATAATATTTAAATTTTTACTATGTTTAGGTCTTTTTTAGATTGAATTATTTTTTTTCCATAAAAAACTTCCTGGGATCTATAGAATGTAAGGGTTTGTTTAGCTGTATTGAGCTTCTTCTGCCTAGAGCTGGCGTCAAGGTTACAACATTGAGGTCTATGGAGGATCCCACAAGACTGGTAACGGCTGGGGAAAATGACAAAACGAGGCATTACCTTTTGCCGAGCCAGTCAAGTTATGTTAATCGGAGTAAAAAAAAAAAAACTGTGACTCGCACCACCTACTTAGAAGTTTGTTTCCGTAACATCCACAAGAATGCCATTGAAGGAGCGTTCACGGGGGACAGAGGTCATCATGGGTACCCTTACAATGACAGCCCTTGCATCGGATATGAGCAGTTCACTGTTCATCTCTCTCCTCTACCCTTCTGACTATTTATTTCTGATTATTTACAGGTCGGTAGATTTGCATTCCACCCCAAATATTGTAAGAGATTGCCCTTTTTTATATATAATTGTTTATAGAAATAAAGATAATGGGGATGATGCTTCTAAACAGGTCATTTAGTGAGGGTTGAGGTAAATCAGAAAGTCCTTTGATTTATGTCAATTTATTGTTAGACCAGATAAGCTGAAGCAGCGATTTATTATTTGTAAAACCACAGAGGATCTGGTAAGACAAATATCATCGGTGTATTCAGAGACCAAATATCAGTTACCTTTGACTGTTTGTACATTTGGGTGGTGTATTTCAATATCTTTGATTTGATTCACCTTCTTTTCATCTTTTATTTTTTTTTATTTTTTTTTAATTATTATTATTTATTTATTTATGCTGTGCTGTGCTTTAAAATGTTAAATGCTTCCTTAGCTGTTAATAAAGATATCTTAGATAAGTGGGACAACAGTGGTAGAAAATATAGCAGGTGAATAATTTACAAATGATAAACTTAGAGAGACCTTACACTTTGGAATTAGCCTTTTTTATTTATTTATTTATAATACATTTTAAAGTGAACCTGTCGTTTTTTTTTTTTGTTTGTTTGTTTTTTTTTGTTTTGTTTTTTTCTTCTTAAGCCTTCTGTTGTTTAATGATTGTACTCCCCTTTGCCACTTTCCTTTGTTTCTATTTATTATCTTTTCCTCCTTCTGCTGGATATCAATACTTGGGTGCAGCCATTTGGTTCTCCTTTGTTCGTGATACCTGCAGTTTCCCTTCTGTGGGATTGATTGTGGTGATGGATTGTGGGTAGATTTGATTGGTAACTGAGACAGATACTTGCTTTAAGCTAAGCCCCTTGTCAAGTTTTGTCAACCTGACTGCTATACATGATGAAAAGTAGTGAATACTTTTAGTTATGTATTTAATGTTTTACAGAAACAGATTAAAGAAGTTTATTTTTTGTGAGCGAGCCGCTTTGAACTGACAAATATGCAGAAAACAATTCCTGATAATAAAATATCAATATACTTGGTGAATCCACCAAATGAGAAGGTTCTGCTGTGAATCCTCATCTACTCAGAATGTGGCTGGCTCAAACCTGATATTCCTGCATGGGACTTTATACTTCATATGGAAGTGCTGAAGAGGCCTTTTATAGTCAAAGTTAGACCTCTTTTTTTTTTTTTTTTAAAAGACATCAGGAACTAAATATATGCTTTAATTTCAGGAGGCCTCAGGATTGTCTGCTCTAAAACCACAATTGGACCAACTTGGTGTTCCATTATATGGAGTGGTGAAAGAAAAGATTGGCACTGAAATTGATGACTTTCAACCCTTCTTTAAAGGAGAGATCTTTCATGATGAAAAGGTACCATCCAGTTGCCATGTGAACATTTTTGGTTGCTTGTGAAAAATAATGTACACATTGGGTTCACTGACTGACTGCCATATGTTGGTATATGTCTACTCTCCTTTATGTCCATTAGGTATGTTGTATTCATAGAACACAGATGCTTGACTATGAAACTAGTAACTAATTCGTTACAGTATAACCATGCCTTCTCCAACTGAATTTTCTAACCATGCTGTTATAAGCCTTTAAGAAGATTTAGCTTCAGTAGTATTATACACTTTTTTAGGCAAATGACAAGCAGTTTGTAATATTTGAATATTTGCCTCACGAAATCAATGTATTCAGCCAATTTGTTGAAGTATTATCCGCATTTTATAATTAACCTTTTTTTTTTTATACGGCGACTATCTGCGTCACAATTTTTGGATAGTACAAGTGAAATAAGATTGTGAGTTCCTAATTTGTAAGTATAAAAATTTCATTGTAGGTTAAATGGACACTGTTTACACCATAACCACTTAAACTAATTTTACAGGTATAATGGGTCCCTCAGTGCTCGTAGTCCAAGCCCTAGTGGCTGTTCAGTGAACACTGAGAGTAGCTCCACTCTACGCCATATCAGGTAGCAATTAGGCTGAGTGTCAGTTGCCGCTCTTAGCCTATCTAGTATAACTCGTGGCATGTGGTGGAGTTGAAGTGGTCCTGCAACCTGCAGTGTCCCTTTAAAGCATTATGCTATTGCAAATTATTTTAATACAGATTCTAAGAACTTTTTTGGGTTAGAATTGTATGTAACTTTTAATGTACTCTAGGAGTAGGCACGAAGCAGACCGGTACACCTCATGCAATAGTGATCTATAAACATAGATAATTTTGGTCTTAATGAATGCCCTATCAAGCATTTTAAGTAAAGTACTGGACAACTCGAAATTTGTTTGATCTGGTCACTTCCATTCAAATTGGTCATGAATTGTGTTTCAATAAGTGTTTATTATTTCCTCGACTGAGCATGCAGAAGACCACAAAACAGGATCCCCCATAGAAGGGCGTTATTCATACTAACTTTATATCACACCCTTTTCATTTCATAGTACTAACATTAATATATGGCAGAGAGGAGCGTTATTCACTAAAGTACGAATGCTCGCTGCGTAGATTATCAAATTTATCCAGGGGTATTTAAGTCTCTAAAATCCTGTCATTTGTTCTCAAGATTTATTAGTGTCTGGATTTTTCCATACAATTGGGCTCAGCCAGATATCCACAACTCATGTTATATTTCATATAATTTTATACATTTTGTTGTTGTAACCATTGACCCTCTGACTGTTTGTTCTGCCAGTGGTCAAATACTTACATTTTTCAGGAGAACCTACAGAAATATTATGTGCGTTTAATTTTAGCAAATTTCCTGTTCTGGTTTTTTTTAGTGGATCTAATTAAGAAATGAGCATTTAATGTTTGACAATCTTCGATTTAAATGGGATTTGCACATAAGAATTACTAACATTAAAATGGCCAACAAATGTTATATGCTTGATATTTAAACCCATTTTAACAATATATTGCTAATGAGGCCCACTTGTTTTCCTGGCACTATAGTGCCCTGATGGTGCCCCCACCCTCAGGGTCCCATTCCCGTGGCGCTGAGGGGAGAGGAAGGGGTTAATCGCTTATCTCTTTTCCAGCACCGGGCTCCCTCGGCGCTGGGACTCTCCTCCCTCTTCTTCCGTCATCGGCTGAATGCGCATGCGCAGCAAGAGCCAGAGAATGCTTTCCTATGGTTGCTGGCGTCTTCTCACTGGGAAAATCACAGTGAGAAGCGCGGAAGCGCCTCTAGCGGCTGTCAATGAGACAGCCACTAGAGGCTGGATTAACCCTAAAGTAAACATACTTTACATTTACAGCAGGCAGGGTTAAACCTAACTGGACCTGGCACCCAGACTGAAGTGGTCTGGGTGCCTATAGTGGTCCTTTAAGTGAATAACCCTGTAAGCTAACAAGAGCACCATCATTTTGAATGTTAATTCTTTCACTTTGCTTTGTGTTTTTTCCAGAAACTCTTCTATGGTCCTCAGACACGGAAGATGATGCTGATTGCTTTGATACGTTTGGGTGTGTGGCAGAACTTTCGCAGAGCCTGGAAAGATGGCTTTCAGGGAAATTTGGAGGGTGAAGGACTGATCCTTGGAGGCATGTTTGTTGTTGGTGCCGGCAATCAGGTAAAAAAATATCGACACACATTCTGACTGAATATTCAGTCCTTCTGAACTGTAATATTTATGTAAATGTTCCTGTATCCCCCCCCCCAGTACATTCTTCTTCTCTGACTTTGCTAAAGTGATTTATATGGGTAGTTCTTATTGAGACTTGAAGGGACACTCTAAGCACCATAAACACTACGATGCATTGTAGTGGTTATATTGCCTGCTGTTCCCTTGCACTGTCTCAAAGTAAACAAGGTGCAAAAGGATCAGCACTAATTAACAGAGAACGAAGGGGCAGCAACCCAAAAAAGGAATCCTATCTCTATCTCTAGGCTGCGCCTAAACTTTAAACAAATAAATAATATAAATGTCTATTACTAGGCATAGAAAAGGGGTCTATTTATAGATAGAAGAACAATAGAATAGTCCTAAAATTGTCTTGTGTAAAAGATACCCTCTTAGGTAGTAGTACATTCTGAGTCAAACTGAAAGTTCTTACCCTTATAGAAGGGTATGTAGGTTTTAGAATTCCTTGGTGTAGTCCATACATAACATAAAAAGGCAAAAAAAACCCTGAAAACTCCAATAGTGCAATATATCAATTCAACCAGAGTGGGTGTATTTAAAGAGCGATTGGTTACTCACATCTAGTGGAGCTATAGCCAGCTCTAGCGTGTAGAGCGTACAGTGATATAATCCCCACTTAGATTTATTTGAGACTTACGGTCTCAAAGTAAGTAGCCAAACCGTTGACACTGGATGCCTCGTCCAGACCCCACTATAGATATACCTAAAGTAAAAGATCCACTGCCTCCTTTGATATTATGTGTTGGACGATAGCAACAAATTTTCAAAAACAGGTTGATTGCATAAAATGGTGCTTAAACAGCCCTTTTAAACTGTTATATTTGTTTTTTATAATCCTTTTTTGTTGTTGTTGCATAGTTAAACATTCAAGCTTGTTATTACATATGAAATGGAAGTAAATGCAGTATGAACAATCGCATATTTGCTACATGGCATGTCAAAAGACTTGCACATTTTATGGTTTAGGGCATCATAAGTAAGGCATTCATGTCTGAATATTATGGTAGGTAAAAGCTTAGACAAATATGGCTTATGACAGACGTGTATTGCAGGCTTGATATTCATTTGTGAGCAAAAACACACGAGGTCGTCCACCAGGTTGTTAAAATCCGTATGGTGGCCACTTTGACTCAACAGACAAAAAAGAGGATAAACAACATTAAAACTCTTGGCTTGTATGGATCAAATGCAGATTATGTGCTTATGGTAAGATCGCTCCATCTACTCAGCCAATGCCACAAGCAAGCTTCATCTGGTTCTCCAGGAGTTGCTTGGTACTTATGCTCCTGCAGCCTCTCCGGGTCACGAAGCTCAATCGAGCGTAAACTGTTAGTTTTATGTCAGTTATTTTTCATGCGCACACAAAGCACAGGTTTGCTGTAAAATGTTTGCTCAATTCAATGCCAACACAAGGAAAAACTAGGAAGTGATCTAAAATGATCAACCCAAGTATAGGCCTTTTAAAAAAAATCTTATATGATGATTTGAAGAACTGGTCTAAGGACAGAACTAAGAAATCAATTTTAAAGATACAAATAGAAAGTTTTATGTTGCGTTTGTTATATTTGCAAAGACCCATGACAGTTGCAGTGGATTGGCCAAGGACAGCAGGAGAAGGTGAGTTATACTTACCTGGACCTGTCCCTCGCAGCTGACGCCAGCTTCTTCCTACTGATTTCTTCAGTTCGTGGCGCTTCAGCTGTCACTAGCTGATGTCGGTGTTCTACTCTCACGCATGTGCAAGAATACAATACTGAGGTCAATGGAGGATCACACGAGACCTCGGTATCCTCCGACAACAAATGTTTTTCCTTCATCCGTGACCGCTGAGGGCTTGACTAAAGGTAGCTCTGTCTTTTCTCAAGCATAGGAAAAATACTAAGACAACATAGTCCCTACTTTGTATCAGTATATCTTTTTAGTTTCAGTAAATTCCAACGCCGTCAATGTGAGTATTTCATAAAGATTCTATCTTCATTTAATACATATTTTGGATGGGGGTGGACAGTTCTGCTTTAAAGTGAGTTCTAATTATATTCCATGGAACTTTTTACATCATCAAGGCCTTTTCATCATGATTTTGTGTCAATATGACTAATTACTAAGAATAAAAACAAACAAGGTATTGGATGGTAACAGTTGTCAAAATAGATTGAGGATAAAGGATAGACTGGACCCTCGAGCCTGCTTTATAGCTGATCACCCACTTTGAAAGGTAATGAACCTGCTTTGTGTAGTAATAGATAATTTTTTTTTTTTTTTTCTCATTTTGCCCAAGGCATAGTGATTTTCAAGACGTTGTAAGCAGAGATATGAGCAAGGAGAATGTAGCGTGTTTGCGCTCACTTAATTTTTGGCTTACATTTTCTGTCTATTTTCAGGTTTGTATGTATTCTATTTTGACATCGCTCAGCAGTTTTTTCAAACGTGTGACCCATAGCCTGGTCAGGGAGTGCCAGTTAGATAAGTAGAAGGCTGCATGCGAGAGATAATACTGTGGAAAGTAACTAGGTTTTATAGTCAACTTTACAGTAACCTATGCATTATAATATATATAAATAGATATATCTATCTCATAAGAGGTTTCTGAACTATATACTGAACAGTTTAAGAAAATAGTGGCTATCTAAAGATCTGCTGGTATAAATATAGTGATTGCATATGTTATATGGCATTGACTCATTTCTTGATAGTCACATTTTCTGGAAGCTGAAATAAAAGGTCCTACCAGGGAGTCTACAGTCCTATGTCCTTCTGGTGGTATTACAGCTGGTAAAGGACAATGGCAGTGTTTAGAGATGCTGCCAAATGGTAAAAACCTCTTGTTTGACTTATATATTTTTTTTTTTTCTTCAAATGAAGATTTCCCACAAGATTGTTTAACCCTTTCCCAACCGCGGACGTCTGACAAAGACTGTCCTTAAGATCCTCGGACGTACCTAGTACGTCCGCGGTATTCCTATTCACTTACCCGATCGCCGCCATTCCTTCGCCAGCCATCAGTGTTCCTCTTCGTCTGGGGGGACTATTTCACAGCCCACAAAGCCCCCTTGGCAAATTAAGCCCCCATGGGGCATGTGACTGCTCTGAAAGAGCGTCCATAGTGCTGCCTGCAGGGGGACTGCCTGAACTGACACTGGCATTTACTCTTTACTTACACGGGCATTATGTCTACTACTACACAGTAGAGACCACAAAAATGTTGTTTTTTGGTTTTTTTTTGTCTCCCTTTGAAAATTGAAACAAGAAGGTCACACCTCGCAAGTTATAAAATTTTATACCCGAACTCCAAAAAATGCAAACCGGTTCCTGAATGTGTACTTCTTTACATTCTTATGCGCAGAAGTGTAACTATGTTCATTGTGAACAACATAAATTAAAAAGGAGGAAATCTGCATTTTTAAAAAAATATATAATTTCTTTGGTTGCTAGGCTTGTAGTAGAGTTCGGATCACATTGGTCCTAGCAATTCATTTATCTGTGCTTGAAATTTTAGTTTTCAATAAAATTCCATTTATGTTATACAAATGTTACTTTCTGTTATTGTTTGCAGGGAGTTCTGTATGAACATCGTGAGAAGGAATTTGGAGATAAGGCGAATTTGACATCAATCCTTGAAGCAGCTAGAAAGATAAACAAACACAATGCTGACGAAGACAAATAAATCGAATGATCTTGCTCAATTATGATTGTGAATAATTTTCTCATCAAGTTCCCCTTATATGACACTTCTATTAGAACTCATTCTAATTCTCAACCACTCAATTCATCTACATTAAACAGTTTTGATATATTTTATGCTTTGTGTGTATTTGTCACACTTTCATCCGCACATAAAAATTTGGTTAATGGCATTACCGTCCTAAAAAGGAAAAGTTGGGCCGAGCGGCAATCATGCACGTGAAAACCTGGTAATTGCTTTTGGGATCAAAGGCTGGTTACAGCCAATCGGATCCACAGGAGGGGTATTTAAATCCAATTCTCCTTTTGCTCAGTGCCCTGTCGTGGTTTCATCCTGATGGTAAATAGAGAGTGCATTCCTGATCTTGATTTTCTGGTATTTGACTTTTGCTTCATTTTGACTTCCCTGAATTCTGGTATCCTTGACTTCTGGCTTTCTCTCATCTTTGTGTCTGATTCTGTGTCCCTGACCTCGGCTAGTGTTTTGACTATTCTTGGAGACGTTAAATCTGGCCACTCTAAGGTCCAGTTATACGTTATCCTTGGTCCTAGGTGTGACACAGTTCTGTGTGCTGGATCAACTTGTAATCCTCACCATTTTATGCAAGTCCTTTTATTTCTTTTTCCATAAAGATTACTAATTAACACATAAATGTGTGTATACAATAGCCACAGGTTGTTTGTTTATTTTTATTTTTTTTAAATACTCATTAGAGCGATCAACCAAAACTAAAAATGTTAAAGCAGCATTGTCAATGTGATGGCAAATTAAACCAAAATCTAATAGTTTAAGAAACCCTGAGAAGGAATATCTACAGACCTTGTGGACAGATTACATAAAATGGAGGTGCCCTTATGTTGATATCAGGCCCAAGTAAAAAAAAAAAATATAAATAGTGGGGCGGTGGATGGGCACTATAATCCTTAAGATACAAGGGACATAAAGAAATAAAAATGATGTTTTAAATGTAATTATCTTGATGTTCCTGCTGTATTGATTTAAATATAAAAAAAAATCCTAGATTATGAATCTAACTAACAAATCCGATAAAGTCATTCACTATTAGAGAAGGCATAACACCTCCTGTACGTTGTGCTTTCAGTAAATCTGAATCTGCAATGCAAGGATGTGACAAAAGGCTATGGCGATGACTTTGACTATCTGGCTTGAATCTATGATACAATGTAATTGTATATTAATATAGGCTGCAGATTCTTGAAGACTATAAATTTCAGCCTTTCTGCTGCTCATCCCCAAAAAAAGTAAGAACAAATGACATGATTTCCATGTGTGCCATAAAATTAAAAAAAAAGAACAAAACACTTTTTACTAGGAAAAAAACAGTCGGGTTACTCATTGGGACAACAAATTGTACCCCTACATATTGAATATTATTATTAAGGAATAAATAGTGAGTTGATCACGTAAATATTATGTGTGTTTGTCTATGTGTTATTTATCAGCCTGTGTGTTCTCGTGACTGACAATTTCCACTATTTTGTACTATATTTAGCCTAGGTAACACATGCCTCAGGCATTGCAATTGTCTTCTTTGTTTACTTCAATAGTGTAAATGGAAATGCTGCACATGTAATTCGGCTTAAAAGGCCAGTATCCAGGCAGCTGTTCCAGAAGGGAGAACCTTGCTCATACTTCTGACATACTTAAAATGGGAATCATTCTTCAAACACTGATTCATTGCTCGGGGCGGTTTACAGCATTGACTATATCTGGCATGCCCGGGCAATGAGGCTTTCTTACAATCCCTTACATAAATATTTACCTAACCTTTACATTTATCTTATCCTTTGATTTTCATATCTGTCAGCTGTTAGATGAATATAATTAAATGGGTGAATGAAATTTAGTGTTACATGTGGACTATTAAATTTCCTTTTGATGATGTCAAAAATATTAATTTAGCCAATATTTGTGGTCATTTATCCAAGTCCAAAACTATGTTATACTTGTATAGAAAATATAGCGTATGAGTTTATTTTAATGGAATATAAACTTTGCTGCTTTTAATTTTTATAAAATTTAAACATTTCTGATAACATTAAATACTTTACTGTTTTGAATTAAACAAAGTGAAAGCCTAATGTAGGAATAAAGTATATAGGTAGTGAAGGGGTTAACCCTAAATGTAAGTATTGTTAGAAAAAAGGAAAGAAAACACTACCTAAGAACATATATAGTTTAAAATTTAACTTTTAATTGTGAACGGAATATAGAGTGATAATTTCACATATTAAATCTTGATAAGTCTGTATATATAAGTACACCCAGATATATAAGAATAATATGAAAAAATAAGATTAAAACCGAAAAAAAATTTATGAGCATCTGCTAGTATACTTCGTGCAGAATGCTTTTATAAGTTAATCGTGGGTCAAGATTAAATAACCAGCTAGAAATAAAAGCAGTCAATTGTTGGACTGCTGTTGCAATTTATCAAAATAATTATGTTATAATTGATAATGATATTGCAACTAAGAAAGCAACTGTGACCCTAGTTTGTAGAAAATACTTAGTTGCAAAAGCGTTCTAATAATATAACAGTACAGAGGCTCTGTCAAAATTAGCTGTTCAGCTTGTAGTAGAAATACACAGATATATAATATAACAGGATTCCATGCAGAATAGTACTTTATTGGAGTAAACAGTTTCTTAACACCCCAGAATGAATATAGTCAGAAAGTAGAGAAGTATCTGTGCCTTCAAGGGCACCTATCAGATAGAGAAACTAACTACAAGAAAGAAAAGGGAGGAATAATTCTGCATGGAATCCTGTTATATTATATATCTGTGTATTTCTACTACAAGCTGAACAGCTAATTTTGACAGAGCCTCTGTACTGTTATATTATTAGAACGTTTTTGCAACTAAGTATTTTCTACAAACTAGGGTCACAGTTGCTTTCTTAGTTGCAATATCATTATCAATTATAACATAATTATTTTGATAAATTGCAACAGCAGTCCAACAATTGACTGCTTTTATTTCTAGCTGGTTATTTAATCTTGACCCACGATTAACTTATAAAAGCATTCTGCACGAAGTATACTAGCAGATGCTCATAAAATTTTTTTTCGGTTTTAATCTTATTTTTTCATATTATTCTTATATATCTGGGTGTACTTATATATACAGACTTATCAAGATTTAATATGTGAAATTATCACTCTATATTCCGTTCACGATTAAAAGTTAAATTTTAAACTATATATGTTCTTAGGTAGTGTTTTCTTCCCTTTTTTCTAACAATACTTTACTGTTTTGTATCTAGTCTGCTGTGACAAATGTGTGTAACATGCAAAACATGGAAACTTTTTACGTGGTTGGTGGGGGGTAAGTATGACCAGATTGGGGGAGTTAATGTGAGTGTGGCAGGGTGAAGGGGGAGTGACGGTATGTGGGGGTTGACCGTGTGTGTCTGGGGGCTGCATACACTGACCCATACAGATACAAAGACACACATACAGATAAACAAACACAGACAGACATAAATGAAGATACACACATTAACACATATATACAGATACATACTAACACATTCAGATACACATAATGACACTCATACAGATACTGACACACAGGAGCACACACTAACACACATGCAAATAAATATATATACACGTACAGACAAACTGATTCACAACTGCACACAGATACACATAGAGACAAGTAGATAAATACAGACACACAACTATACATACAGGTAAATAGATAAATCTACAGATGCACACATAAATACACATACAAACAAACTGATAAATACAGACACACAGATATACATACAGGATAACTGATAAATCCACAAAGTCACAGATACACACATGCAAACTGTAGCCACCCTACTGTTTCCTACTTTTTTTTTTTTTTTCCTCAAGCCACCCAGGAGTAAAACACAGACAAGTAATCAATATTGTATACCGCAAACATCAGTGTTTTTTACAACAAAATTTACAATAATAGTGATAGGGTCATGTCTTTGCTGGGTAACTGCGACTAGTGAGGTGGAGTGAGGGCGGTTTTAATAAAAGAAACAAAAGGAGATACTATGGAGTGTAGATCGGAAGATGTTTTCCACAGGGTCTTACAAAACCATATAAAAGCTGATATCTGGGAGAAGTAGTTTATCCCTATGGTATGATACCCACCAGGTCGGATTATGGTGAAATCATCAAGCTGCTTAACCATAAAGATGGGAGGGAGAATCTATGTGTGTCTTACCCAGCTAACTGGGTTGTGAACCAGCTGGAGTAGCATGCCCGTGTAAATGGATCTCTGTGGGAAGCCTGGGCTAAGCTGTTATACCAAAGTGATTTGGGTTGCCCCATAGACTAAAATGCACTAAAGTGTATAAAAGATATGGACCACCATTGCATATGTGGTGTGGAGAGGAGGAACTAAAAATAACTGTCAATAAGAAATCCTGAAAAGGTGAAAAGTTAAATTTAAATATTGCGTTCGTTCTGTGGTGGTTATTGTCCAATCACTGGATGCAGGGCATGATCTCCGATCATTTTGTCAGGTCACAGCTCTAGAGGACGTGTTGGTCTGTGCAGCTCGAGGTATGAACGCCCGGATCCTCGCCGGGTCCATTCAGGATAAGCCGGTCTCCTCAATCTCAGCTAATGACAGGATTCCTTGGCCTTGCATGTGATTCTCCAGTTCTTGTAGGTACAAGCACAGTAGATCGTGCCTTGGATGGTGAGCAGGAAGGCCCCACCGATATGGGATGTTCTGGATCACTTGTAGAGGTTGCAAGGACCTGCACCGGCTCAGGTTGTTTCTCGTAAGGTCTGAAAAGATCGGCAGCGTTGCTCCTTCAAAGGAGATCCGGGTTTTCCCCCATACAGCCACCAAAAGGTCTTGTAGGGATTAAAAACATAGGATGAGATCCAGTGAGGTGGCGTGCGGAGCCCTGTCGGCCTGGGGAGGCAGAACATGCCATCCAGTTTACGGCCCTGGCCTGTTTAGGCGAGAGGAAGGCCTCTATAAACCGCTGGATGAAGTGGTCTGTTATCCCCAGTGATTCAGGTACTCCCCTGAGCTTAAGGTTGTACCTCGTCTGGTGATCTTCTAAGGCATCAATTCTACCATCGACTTTCTATAGAGCATTTTGTAGTTGTGCCAGCCTCTTTTCCACAGCAGTCAGCCTGGTGTTATGAGTGCTGTGTGAAGTTTCTAGCTGAGTGAGCTTTGTAGTGGACCATGTCCCTAAGTTCTTGCAAAGCTCAGCAAGCATCACCTTCGGTTGGGATGCCGTAACTGGCTGCCAGACCTCCAACGTTGGAGGGTTAAGTCCTGACTTCTTCCCAGAAGAGACCCCTTGGTGTCCGGTGGATCTTTTCTTTCTGGCAGATCCAGAACCAAATCTCGGCAGGGGCACTGGTGGTGGGCTATAGAGGGGTGAAAAGGGCTGCAGCGGAGGGATAGGAGGCTGGACACATATGCGGCCACACACAGGGATATGGAAACACAATAACACACAGATAAACACATGTATCCACACTGACGCATACTCACAGATACAACATATACCTTCAGACACATACACTAGCACACACAGATACACATACCTACACACACTGGCACATGCACAGATACACATAGAAACACACAACTACACAGACAAGCACATACACTGGCACACATATCTTCACACACAGATACAAGGTAATAGAATATACAGGCAAAGCTCCAGGTACTGAAGATGTATTTATTGGAGGGTAGAACACCCCATAAAAATGCAAAAATGTGATGTTTTGACCCTAGAGGGCTTTAATCATGCTTCAGGCACTCTAGGGCCAAAACATCGCACTTTTCCACTTTTATGGGATGTTCTACCCTCCAAGAAATATACCTTCAGTACCTGGAGTGTTGCCTGTATATTCTATTACCTTGTATTGTTGGACGGATTAGCAGTGTCTGTCTAGTGCAGAGCACCTTTGAGCCTGTGGGCCGAGGTGAAAAGCGGATCCTGAGTGCAGGGGACTTCGTTGTCTGTGGTACACACAGATACACCCTGATAATCAGATACACACACACACACACACGCATATTCACAGATACACACGGACACTTCCAGACAGGGCTGGATTAAGAGCACAGTGGGCCTGGTGCTGACAATTATGATGGGCCTAATTACAGAATCTTATCGACCTAAAACAGTCATACCTCCCAAGCGTCATGTATCTGATGGAGATGGTGCTGGAGGGAAACTTGTAGGATGCAGCTATAAGAAAACCCATATTCTATGCTAATCTCTCTCTAATTTATGCTTTCATCTTTTAAGTAAATCCATAACCCCTAACAGCAGTGTCCAGTGAAGCAGGAAGTCAGTGGGCGGGGTAAAAGGGTGTGCCACTGGCGCGAATCACGTGACCAGACCTGCCAAAAGGGGTGAACATGCCCAAAAAGGGAGCATGTTTGTCCAAAGAATTGGAAGGTCAGCCTGGCATGAATGCATGTCAGGCTGCCTGCCAATCCTGCAGGCTGTCCAAATAAGGGCATACTATGCAGGCGGCACCCTGAGCTTGACATAAATGCGTCTAATGATACACTCACTCCATGCTTTCTAAGGACTGTCCCCTCGCACTCGCTGGTCCACTTGTCTCCTTACCTTCTTACTAGCAGGCAGAAGTTCCCGGTATATAGTCCGAGACAGAGAAAAAGGTGTATGTAGTGAGTGTAGAAGAAAGGGGACATGCCACAGTGTTAGAGAGACCAACGTCTGCATTACCTAAACTAATTTTATTGTCAGCCAGTCCACACAAGTTTTGTTCCCATACATCCCTCTTAAGCTTCCAAACTTAAAGGGACGCTATAGTCACCAGAACAACTACAGCTTATTGTATTTGTTCTGGTAAGT